CGGACGATGTTGTCAACAATCGGGTCAAAAACACGTCAAAATGCAAATTTCACAAAATTTCGACCCGCTATTGATCGTCTCAAAATGTTTACTCGAGCATTCGACAGGTAACATTGCAAATAATGTGAATCGTGGCGATCAGACGTGTGGACTCTCCGAATTGCGAAGTTTCGTGCGCGCGGGAGTGCGAATTGTGCAGAAGGCTACCCTAAGGCTTAGAAAGGTTCTATACGAATTCCTTTTGAATTTAGTCATGTCGGTTTCATCCTTCTAAGTGCTAGAAGTTGACACCACACACTCGAAACCACAAAAGATGACAGAAGTAGGTCGAACTTCTAACATGAGGCGGGTCCCATTTATAAGGTTCAAAGATTGTCAAAGGGAGACCCCTAAGGCTAGATCCTAAATCCTGCGAGAAAGACTAGACCTCACTAAAAATGAGGTCAACAAAAATAAAAGCAAATTTTGAACATTAAGCAAAACTACTGGGGCCTTAATAGCTCGCCTATAAGTGTGAATGCAACCTATAACAAGCTCACTCGATTGTCAATTTGTATAAATGGGAATTGCAATGAACTGTGTAGCCTTTCCACGAGCATTAGCATGAGCAAAATTCTCTAATAAATATTCAAGTTTTTTTTTTTTTTTTAATGGTGAAAAGACAAACTTGAATGCAAATGAAACTTAAAGAGAGCTTATATGTAGCTTAGTTGATTACCTATGAAACTGAATGAAATCTCATTAAAAAGTCAACAAATTATCATCTAAATACACAACCAAGAATTTAAAACGTGCATGAAATCAACACAAGATCCACAACCCTCCTATATAAACTGAATAAAAGGCAAGATTTGAGCTGAAATGAAATATTTGCGCATAATTTAATGGTAAATCATTTTGCGTAAATACTTGAAATTCAGATAATTGCAGGCCTTACACAAATTTCATAAAATATTTTTCATTCTATATATGATTCCTTGAAATTTGTGTACACACTTTAGAACTCATGCAAGTGTTTTAAGAAGCATGCAAATAATAAAATTCAAGCAGTATTTGTGACATGCACACAAATCATAACTCACATGTGTTTGGATGATTATCCTAAATATCAAAATTTAATCACATGAGAATGTTGTGCGGGTGTAAAATAAATTAAATCTTATGGTTTTGCTCTATAAACATGCAAATATTCTAATTTTATGAAATATATCTTTTCAAAATCAGATTTGAATATTAAATTATGCATGCTCTTGAGTTGGTTATCTTGTTTATGGGCAGGGTCATAAGTCCCACTCAATCAGTCTGACCCTCCTAATTGAGCCTGAAGTTGACAAGATTGAGTCTATATCTAGTTAATTTGATTTTCCTCGCGATAGGATTGGAGTTGGTGTGTTTGATTAATAATTGAATATTGCTCCTATATAAGACATGGGTGGTGTTTTATCTCCATATTAATATGAAATTATCAAGTATGAACCTGATCTTGTGCAAGTGAGGTAGACTTGAGAAATTTTAAATCAACCAGTCAAATCAAAACTCCGATGATGGCCAAGTTGATAGATGATTTCAACTGGAGCGGTATATTCTCAAAATTAAGTTAAAAGTTTATCTGAATGAATTTAATTTTATAATTTCTGAACAAGATCCTCTATGAACATAATAGATTAGACAATGTTTAAAGCTATTCAAATTTTTTGATGATGGTCGAGTTGTTAGAAGATTTCAACCGGATGTATCAATTTTTAGAATTAAATTTCAATATCTATGTGAACAAAATCAATCAATATAATTCCTAAACCCGAAGTTTGACAGAGTCGATAGAGTTCAAATCAAGCAATCTAATTTTTTTCCTAATGATGACAAAGTCGATAGAAGATTTTTAATTGGATGGGTCTACTTTTGAAATAAAGCTTTAAAGTATATTTGAAATTCAATTCCTGAGCCTGATCCTCTGTAAGGATGATAAAGTCGATAATGCTCAAAATTACCTAAATTTTTAATGATGACCGAGCTGATAGAAGAATTCAATTAGAGGGGATAAGCTCACCAAAATTATCAAATCCTAATAAAATGGATAAAATCCTAAAATTCATAAATATTATAAAATATTGAAATAATAATCACTAAAAATTGAAAGCAAAATTCATCGACTCTTCATATTTGTTTGTCGAGAGTAACATTTATGTTTGACCTAAACTCATATAGAGCTAGTCTCACATCAAATATACTACTACATTCACTCTCAAAACAACTTCATATAAAAACAATTATGACCTGTGCTTTTGAACAAATGATCGTCTCCAAATGACACCATTAAATTAAGTCACGACTGTAGCCCGTATGTCTCCCAATGACTCTCAAATCTTTGTGACGTGAATCATAGAATATATTTGATATAGCAAAAAACCCTTCTCTAGCTAAGGCTAGCGAAGATTGACTTAAATTAGTCCCTTTAGACAAGCATTCACCCCAGGTTAACGTGATCTCCTTGGACAAAACAACCCATGACTACTGATAAACATCTTTTGGTCTGGTTTGTTTGACTGCCTCATCTACCTTAGTAGATCAGAACCTATGCAAATCAGGGATGATGAAACCATGAGATCTTGATCGGGGTTGTCATCATTTTCTCAACAATATGTTTTTTAAAGTTCATAGTGATAAATTTTAATAATTTAAGTCAATCAAATTTTCTAATATAAAATCCTAATTGCTGCTACTATATGCTGAGAAATCAACACCCTAATGATTAGCCTTAATTGAAAGTGCTATCGTATTATAAGGAGGGGTAATTAATCATAGGGGTTTGCGTCTATGAGAATCCTCAGACACATATCTAAAAGTCCTTATAAAATGAGGGTGAAATCTTTGGGTTTTGTCTTATCTACAATTTCATTAGCCTTCTAAAATTTTGATCCGAAACCTCAAGTAAACTCTTTCTTCATCATTATTTTCGAGAGTGGCTAGGGAGACAAATTTTTAGAGCCCAGCCCACACTATTTATCATCTTAAGAGCCGAGGGAGTGTGAAAAATGTGCATGTCTGATCTTATTGTTGGAATCCTCATATTAATGCCTCGGATGGAAGTCAGGATCCCTTGGGTTCATGCCAAAGAAGGAAACTAGGATCCCATGAATTTATGCCAAGGAAATCTAGATTCCTTTTATAAAATGTGCATTTATTTGTATGGCTGAGTTTTTTTTTTAATTTCATTATTAGGCCAGTCTATATATCGCCTTGTATATGGAACAAGAAAAGTTCCTTCTTGCTTGTGTTCTCCACATATGTTAATAGCATTAAGAGTAGGATAGGAAGCCTTAATGAAAACTTATAAATCCTAAGTGATAGCTTCTTTTGCTTTTCTAAAGTCAGAAAGAACAATAACCGCATCCTTAGGTGCTGCAAGTGCTGATTTGGAAATAGCGAAAGAGGGAACATCCGTAAAATTAATAAAGTTAATTGTCTGAAATTTGTTTGGAAAAAATGGATGGTTGCCAAATCCAGTTGCTTATTAACCGTGGAAGACTGAAAACCGGGAACCTTACCAAAGTCAGGAATGTGTGGGGAACAAGGGGCAGAAAAACTTCCAAGAGCATTATGAGGTTTAGTATTGATCGAAATATTATAGGAGAACTTGCAAGAATATATCAAAAGATTTTCAGGAATAGCATTAAGATTTTAACCTCACCTAACACCAAGTTCTGGTAAAAATAGGTCAAGCCATTCAAGCCAATTGAAAAATGTTTGATTTTCATTTGCAAATTGGTTTCTTATTAAAGGAACCTATTTTAAAACTTTCCCTTTATAAGCTAAGCCAGTTTTTTAAAATGCCTTACCTTTTCAATCATTCTATGCGCCAGAATCATCTTGTTGTAATTATTCTGTTGTTGTGTAAGCAACAGATAAAATTCCTTTGCCATTTGTACGTAAAGTTATCGTCAGATTGACTCTCCCCTCCTTATATGTTGTTTTCTTTGATGAGGGCCTAGTTTTGGCTCTAGTTTTTCTGATGTCGTGTCCCATGCTAGAGCTTTACTGAGGACATGTGGTACTCCGGCCGTATCCTACACCAAGATGGTGATTATTTTCATATATTCCTCCCTCCTCCACTCCCTTGATTGCCGTCGCATTCTCTAACAGCCCGCCTACCTCCTGCAACCCTTCCAAACCCTTGCAGATTGCGCCTACCCCCTTCCATCCCCCCCGCTTGCTTGCTGCCGCGCTCTCCCAGGCTTTCCCTTCTTGCTAGCGCCCCATCCCAGGCCTTCCCTGCTTGCTGCTGCCTCCTTCCAACCCCTTGCTGGCATTCAACCGCCAACCACCCCGCATCCCTTGTTGCCACCTTCCCACCACTTTTCGGTTCAACCCTAATTGGGTGTTTGTGTGTGCATCTTTGTTGCTCTTTATTTTTGTTGTTTATTTGTACTACTTTTTGGAATTTCAACAATAATGCTATCATTATGTTGTGGTCAACTCCGACATCATAGATTCGTCTTATTTGTGATTCACTATGGCGCAAATGCTTGCTTATGTAGTTTTTTTTTTCTTTT